CTGGCTTGTTCTTTAGCTTGTGATTACTTCCCTGGGGCATATGGAATGTCTCTGTTTGATCTCTGCTGCTAAGAATCGGAGTGTCTGGAGTGCCCCTGTATCCCTTTGCAGCTCCCTCCTAATGTCTGGGCAGACTGACTCATGAAATGAGTGCCCAGCAAAACTCCAACACCTGGAATTTTTAATTAACATTAATTATAGTAAACATAACCATGTGTCTATCTAATCTTTGAGTTTTACAGTTTCATAAGCCCTTTTTGGTGACTTGACTTGGACCTTCAACATGAGTAAGTGTTCCAGTTTTGTCTTCACTTTTTTTTTATATTTCCTTTCTGGAACAATCCTTTACTTAGGTCAAAACTACCATGTAAAATCCATTCTCATCTAAAATCATTGCCTTTTTACCTTTAACCTTACTTACCAAAAATATACTTTACCTATAACTCGCTACTTCTCTTTCTTGATGGTTCCTAGCTACTTTATGTGTCTTTAGAAAATTAAAAGTCTATATTACAATGAAAACACAGAAAGCTGCATCTCAAACATAGATAGCACACACTAATACTCCTAGAGATCTTTCTATCCCACCTCTAATAAAAGAAAAACTCAAAGTCTGGTGTCTCTGATTCATTTTGTGTTTGTCTCCTTCCTTTAAAGGGAATCTGGTTAACTCTGCATATTAGCTTGATGAACCATGAGGCCAAGCCATTGCTTTCAATATATTATAAAAGAGAACTGAATCTCAATTATATTTAAACATATTAACATCAAGTCCATGTAATATCATTAGTAAGACACAAATCACACTGAGCAGGCAGCAGTGATTTTGTCTTAAAAATGACCATTTTTTTTAAATCTAAAAGTGGTCAAGATAAGGTCTTAAGAAAAAAAAATCTGGTTTTTGTTTTTGTCCCCCCAAAAAAATCAAGCTGTAGCAAGCAAGTGGGGGAAAAGAGTACAAGTGGACAGGCAATAAGAGCTCCTATTTCTTGATGCCATATGGCAAATTTAAAAACCACCATAGAGGGTGGAATAGGGCTCAGCAGGTAAGGGTGCTGGCTGCCAAGCCGGAAAACTCGAGTTCAATGCCTGAGACTCACATGATGGAAGCAGAGAAACCAGCTCCCTTCAGAAAGCTGTTCTCTGACCTCCACACATGCACTATGGCACATGCCTGCCTGCCCCACAAAACAAACAAATTAACATAATGGAAAACCTCCCTTAAAACATTTACCTTGCCGGGCGGTGGTGGCGCACGCCTTTAATCCCAGCACTCGGGAGGCAGAGGCAGGCGGATCTCTGTGAGCTCGAGGCCAGCCTGGGCTACCAAGTGAGTCCCAGGAAAGGCGCAAAGCTACACAGAGAAACCCTGTCTCGAAAAAAAAAAAAAAAAAAAAAAAAAAAAAACATTTACCTTTACATACTTATATGTACATCTCCAATGAGGCATGCCAAGAATAGTAATTTTATTTTTATTTATTTATCTTTTTAAGAAGCATAAATATGTATGTGCCACAAAGGAGTTTGTGTACAGTGTTGAAAAATCTACAACTTCTTCTTAAATTCACATGTGCACTTCACCTCTCTGGGCAGGAGAGACGGCTCAGCCATTAAAGGCTAGGCTCACAACCAAAAATCTAAGAATAGTAATTTTATCATAAAGTAAGTTAAAATACAAAAAGGAAGATTTAACTATCACAGATTCTACGACTCAAGTTTCAGCAATTTTGGAGGCAGACTGAGTTTTGGCCCAGGCTAAAATCATACCTAAAAACAATTATGTGGGAGCAATTATGAACTTATATGACAGAATGACATTAAATCAGCATGTGCAATTAGTTAAACAGAGTAGAAAGTTTGCATCTCTACATCTTTGAGGTGTAAGAAAAAGTCCCAGTGAAAGCTGAGGGGGTCAAGAGGTGAAGCTTGTTAAGTAGATTTAGGTTAATACCTTTTTCTGTTCAGGAGATAAAAGGCAGAGGGAAGGGCAGCTTGGGTAACCTTAATATTGTCAAGAGCTCAATTAGCCCATTGAAACACCCCCTTCCTTAAGTAACCCCTGTGATCCTACCACAGTTAACAGATTTCTTAGTATAATTTTCATCCCTTTGAGGGGTCTGCATATAATCTGTGGCATCTCCCAGGGTTCTGTAATCCCAAGCGGTGAGTTCATGATCTGGGTGTGTCTGTGCTATGGGAAAATGGTCGACAGGGTTTGAGCGAATCACTCCTTTGCTTGTCACCTAGATCATCTTACCCCTTAGAAATACAACAAACCATCAGAACCAAGTAGAGCTCTCTTCACTGGGAAAGAGGATTCCTATAGAGAAGCTGTGTCTACAAAGGCTGACTGAATGACCAGAGGACAGGGGAGTTTGCCATGAGACTGCGTGTCCTAGTAAAGTCAGAAGGTACCCATAAAGTCTCACCAACATGACTGCTTACACATAAGCTGAACAAGGGTGACACCAATAGACGTGGCCAATCAACGTGGGTATGGGAAAGACCAGGAGGCCTCAGCTCTACACATAGGACAACAGGAGACTAAGGAACATTAAAAGTGGGAGAAATCGTCTTCTCCAGGAAAGAGAACACAGACTGGTTATCCAGTACCAAATGGTCAGCCCTGAAAACATACACACATATAACATTATGCAGACTGGGCAGGTTGTATTTAAGAAGATATATGCATATACCCATACATCTGTAATAACAAACAATGAAAAAGAGGTCATGGGTTTGAAAGAGAGCAAGTGGGGGTTATAGGAAGATTTGAAGAGAGAGAAAGAAAAGGGGGAAATGACATAATTATAATTTCAAAACTTTAAAAAAGCACACCTTCAAGGCCTGTGGAGAATTTGGAATGTTGGAAGTCGAGAGCCTGCTGTTTTCTGTCCAGGGAACATGTTCTGCAGTAACTTTCACAAGACTGGGATGCAAGCCCTTGCTATAGGGATCTCTCAGGTTATTTCTTTCTGCTTGGGTGAAACAAAATGTCTCTTCTGAAGCTCTAAAAAAGGCTCAAGTGGCTAGGCCCATCAGAGAAGAGGCTTGTCCCACAAACGGCTCTGGTCTCTTTGTCCATATTGCCCTTAGTGTTTGAAATGGGTGGTCTTTTTCGTGGACCTCATGTTTCAGGAAGTGTCTTACCACCTGGGAGACTAAATCCATGCTTTTGCTGCTAGTACTGCATATAGTAAACTAGCGGGAACACATCTGAGAGTTGGTGAGTGGGGTGACACAGAAAAACATTAGGGACACATGGAGCAAACTCAATAAGGAGTCTAGAAGAGGCTGATGATACGTAGAGGCATGGGAGGCTCCAGCAGCTCAGGGGAGCCCAGGGAGCTATCAGGATTCAATAGAGTAAGTCTGGGCTGGATAGCTCCAGACCTAGGGCTGCTGTATCACATTCATGGCACATTTATCGCATCTGAGCCAGCAGGTCAGATTCCCAATACCAGGGTTGCCTGGCACCACTCACCTGGGGGCTGTGACTTGAATCCTCAGTGTCTGACTTCCCATGATCACCCAGACAGCCCCTTCCCCATCCCAACAACTCTCTCCATGGGAGGATGTGAAGGGAGGTGAATATGAAGGGAAGAAGTGAAGGAAGGAAAGGATGACTGGGGAGGGGACCCATTAGGGGAGAGAGATGAGGAAAGCATTCAAGGCTCCTTTGCCATTGTGAGTCCTTATCAGGGAGCTGATACAGGAGAGGGACAGTGTGATGTTCTGTAGGGTACCTTGGTGAGGACCAATTTCTAACCTTGGCACATGACGAGATAATACTGTCCAGTGATTTTCAAGCAGCTGGTACCCTAATAGCCCTTGATTGCTCCCCTCCCCCTGCTCACAGCTCCTATCACTCACCCCAAAATGAGTTGGAAGTTTAAGAGATTAGAAACACCAATCTTACCTCCTGGCTAGCTCACCAACTGACATTACCGGTTAATATCAGGCTTGGAGGGCATGACTACAGGGGTTTCAGGCCCTTGTATCCACAGAGGATTGAACAGGAAGCACAGGTGTAGCTAAAACAGAGTTAGTTTATTGAGAATATGCTCCCGAGAGGAGAGCCAAGGCGGTAACATGGAGGGAGTCCAGCAGCTTTGTTCACTCTGCACTTTATTTTCTAAGGTGTATTTTGCTTTGTTTTGTTTTATGTATCTGAATATTTTTGCCTGTATATATGTATATGCACGGCATGCATGCCTTGTGGCCGTGGATGTCAGAACAGGGTGTCAAATCTTCTGGAACTGGAGTTATAGATAGTTGTGACCTACCATGTGAGTGCTGGGAACCAAACCTAGATCTTCTGCAAGAGCGGTTAGTGCTCTTAACCACTGAGCCATCTCCCCAGCCCAGGACACTGAACATTTTCATAGTTTAGCATAAGCTTTTCAGTCTATTTGCATAATGCTAACTTTTCTATGCATGCTGGGTCAGTGATGTGTTCAACTTGCAACTTCACATGTCATATGTCTAATTAGCATTTTAAGTCTCTGCCCAGGGATGTGTTTTAGTATTATGTTGATCCATAGGTTACTCTTGGACAATGAAGTGTCATTACATCCAATTGACAGTGAGTCTTAGTTGGCTGCTGTGGATGATTGACTGATAAGTAAAGTGCTGATTGGCCAGTAGCCTGGCAGGAAGCATAGGTGGGACAAAGAGAGACGAGAAGTCTGGGAAGTCAGGAAGACACTGCCAGCCACCACCATGAGAAGATGTTAAAGATGTTAAGATACTGATAAGCCATGAACCAACTGGCAACTTATAGATTAATAGAAATGGGTTAATTTAAGATGTAAGATCTAGATAGGAAGAAGCCTGAGCCATTAGGCCAAACAGATTAAATAATATAAGCGTCTGTGTGTTTATTTGAGTCTGAGTGGCTGCTGGCCAGGGCAGGACTGGAGATAACTCCAACTACAGTTGGCCCTGACTGGAGAGGGGTTCCTGACTATTTGCTAACCTGTGTTTTTCATATGCTAATCTTAACTACTGCCTCACTAGGTAACAGAGGTATTATAATTAACTCAATTATAATATTATCTCAGTGAAGTTTTTATTTACGTTGGAATATTTCACACATTTAATGTTTATGAATATCTTGTACATTATACAAAAATTTACCAAAACTATATACATAGTATACAAGTACGATACCAAGCGTATCAGCTGGTAGAGAAGATTAGCTAGGTGGCAATCACACCACACTTTTTTCCCTTATGAACTACAGTCTCAAAATCTTGATTACTTAAGGGGGAAAAAGCCCAGTTATATCAACAAACTTCCAAGTACTGACATCACTTTAAGTTGATTATTAAAATGAAAGGAACAGATCAAGCCAGCCAGGCCCTACATTCTCCCCCTGCAGAACAGTTACATGGAACTCTTAACCTGTTAGAAGACTGATGAATAATATGGCAACTGAGCCCAAAGTCTTCCTTAAATCATCTTCATGGCTATCCATCAGCAGCTATGCCAGCCTGGTGTTGCCAGTTGTAACTCCCACCAGACAGGTCACTCCTAGTGATGATAAGATCTCCTTCCCTAAGTAGTCTTGGAGATGCTGGCATCCTTACTCTCCAGGATCCTGTAACTCATCATCCAAAGGCTAATCAGTTATGCTCAAACAGCCATTGTCGAAGACTAGGGGATAATACTGTATCACATTAGTTGTCTTATTTCCAGGTCATGCATGGCTCTTTACAGTTCCACTAAGGATAGTCCTGCTCCCACCTGCTCTCTCAGATCTTGAAGCAGCCTCTAATCATACAGGCCTGCTGAGCTCATGGAAATGCACAGTAACCTTCTAGCCTGGCTGCAACAGTGATGTTCATTAACAAGAAGTGGAACTCATCCATTGCACACAGGTACCCATCATCTTATTGCAGGTAGTAGATCAGTGACTGATGTTTACATCCTAAAGAGTCAATACAGTTCTGGATGTCTTTGGTTGGTGTTGCTGTTCAATGAATAATTTATAAAGAAAAAAATTAATTATTATAATTCTATAAGCTAGGAATTCCAGTATTAAGGTGTTATCATCCAGTTAGAGCCTTTTGGGCACAACTTCCCATGGCAAAAGTTTGAAAGTCAAGAGAGGTCAAGAGAAAGAGAGTGTACTTTCAGAACAAACCAGTTTTCCAGTTTGTTTCCAGTTTCCAGGAACAAACCTGCTTCCATAATGTTGGTAAAGTCCTCAACACTATTACATAATGTTTCTAATACATGAGCTTTAGGGCCACATTCAAACCCATGCCTGGGAAGTAAATGACTGTCTTCACAACAGTGAAATTGTCAAATCTGATGGCAGTGAACGAAGGTAGGATGACGTCAGTCAAGTAAATCTTCAGATAAAAGGAGTAAGTCAAGCAGAGGATTTCTTCTATACGTCGAGAACAGGATTTCACTTGCTGGTTGCCTTTTCTGAAGGGGACTAGAAGCAAGAAAATGAATCAGTGTCTGTTGTTCAAGCCATAATAACCGCTTTTTATTTTAAACACTTAATGGTGTTAGTGGGTTTTGTAGGAAAAATGGGGATGACGAGGTTCAAGCCATCGCTTATATCTGTGATCACAGATCCATGAGACGTTATAAAATGAACAGTGACACAGTCTAAGTCATGTCAGTGCCAACTTCAATCTTCCTTCTAGATGTTCCTGAGTTTTAAAAGTTTTAAAAACAAGCCTAACCCAGTTCTACCGCTTACTTACATTCAGATTTGAGGAACACACAAAACTGTAAAAACTGATGCAGCAAAATGAACCAAACTACATACATTGTGTTTGAAGTACTAGTCATCCAGGGACCTAGAAATATCTGGAACGTATGGACGGCCAGACATCTGGATCCAGATGAAAGCCATGGTCTACTTGCCATATGATCTATTTTTATACAAGTCTGTTCCTTTCTGTGTTGGCACAATCCCACATTTATCAGAAGGACAATCACACTGAGCATACTCTGGTGAGTGTCCAGGTGTACAGTACCACTGGATATGTTCACAAATAAAAGCAGGAGACCAAGAAGAGCCAGTTAAATAGGAAGATCTCATATGTTGAGAAAAGCCTAGTTGTATTTTTTTCTATCATATTATCCTGTAATTCCTCTCGCCTCTCCCTACCCACAAGACTTGTATGATGATATCTAAGCTAGTAAAAAATTCAGTTCCTTTGTTGGTGGTAGTAGAGATGGTTTCGTATTGTATTTTTTGAGACAGCATCTTGCTACACAACTCAGCCTGGCCTCAAGCTCCTGAGCCTCCTATGTCTACCTCATGAATGGTGGGATTTTCGGGTTCAGTTACACAAGTCCCTTTCTTTCTTCTTTCCTTCCTTCCTTTCATATTACCTTTGCATCAGGAATGGTTTGATGAAGAAGATGATGCTTTGTGTCCGTCGTTTCCACTGGAGTTATCACCCTCAATAACGACAGCACACATTTCTATAAGAAAGAGAGAACAAAATAAAATTCTGTTTGTAAGAATTCACATTCTCCCTCTCTCCTCTTTTGTAATCATGAGAGTCACCTTGGTTACTTCTGTTTTCACATCTTATTCCAACAAACAATATTAAAAATGCATTCACTGTAGAAATATGGCATCCAAAGTAGCAATACTATTCTATGATTGATTCAAGGGCTCCAAAGGGGAGAATAAATACAAGTCAACCAATCAGCAATTCTTGGCTCATTACAGTTGTTGGCCAGGTTTCCACCAACTACTAACAAAGAAAATGTCCTGGCCGAGGAAGGGCTGAGAATGGCCATTAGGGGACAAGAATAGAATGTCGTTTGTCAGGGAAACCCTTCTTCTCAGCCTTGCTGAAAACTCTGGACCATCTGAACATAGCCTAGAGTAAGGGCATTTTGAACAATAGAAAACTGACTTAAAAATCAAAGCATATGAACCATAGCATATTAAACAAATAAAAGCTCCAAATATGTTTTCATTACATCAAACTACAGAAGTGTAAGACTCATCCCAAAACCAAAAATAGCACCAAACTCTAGTCCTGCCCTTTCCTTCCTTTTTTTTTTTTATCTTCTCTATGCAAATTCCTGGTTTCTCTGTGGCTAATTCCACTCAGCTAGTCACTGGCGACGTCCCCCAATTCAAGGTTAATTTTATTAACAGTCTTGGAGTGTCACAGTGAAATCAAATATCACACAATAGTATAAAACATTTTCTCTTCATAACCAAGAGGAATAGACCCTGACCTGAAGTGTGCTCCGTTACTTCATCAGAACCACGATGCACTTCTTCCTCTGATGGGGGAACCTGGAAGTATTGGTCTCCTTCATCAGAGAATCTGTTTCTTCTGGTTCCTAATTTGGTTGGAGATCAGGGATAAGAAAGAGTTCAGTAAGTGTTCTTCCCCCAGCTCCTTCTCTGGAGACTGTTCTTTGGCTGTGTCTTCTCACTCCATATGGGAGTGATTTATTGTGACTCTCCATTCTAGGATTGGGGAACTCTTCTTTCTCCTTGCCACCTCAAGTATAAGTTTGGTTCTGATTCAGATGTGAATAGCTGGGGGTTGGGGGTTGAATGAACTATCTTCTATGCTAACTTTATAAGTTCTGAGTGTTCTGTGTGCTTTTCTATAGATGTGGAAGTGGGCAGACTTCCAGGGTAGACACTGTCATTGTTGAACAGCATATGATACTCCATGTCCTATAATTTGAATTTAATCCAACCAGCGGATCATTATCTTAGCCCAGAAGATAAATCTGGAAATAACTTGAACTACTCGAGATGCAACCATCTCTGACTATTCCTAGTCAAAGAGTGGCAAGTATAACAAGCAAGGAGGCCAGCCTGCCTATGAGACTGAATGATCACAAGGTCAATTTGGTGAAATGATCCCATGATGTCACCCTGAAAACCTCATTCTCAATAGTGGTGTAGTGGGTAGCTACCCACTACAAGTGGTTTTTCAATAACCGAAATTCTCTCTTTGCAAGAAACATGTATGGGATGTGAGAGTTATCTGAACCTTCAGGATACCCAGGGCTTTCTTGAGGGCAGGATGGAGTGTGGAAGTTCGTTTAGGTGTACAGTGTTGCTGTAGACATTCGTGGAAAGGGAGATAGCATGCAGTCACACAGACCTGCTTCCTGAGCCTGCTCCGTACTTGAACTCCTTCCTGGATTCATATTTCCTGGAATGTGGAAATAAGATAATTCCTAGTTTGTACAGATTCCTTCTGTGTCAAGTTCTGATCATTAATGTACATTTCAATGCAGAAGTGTAAGGACTGGTGATCACAGCATCTTAAGGCATTGTTTTAAATGATTACTGGACAATACAAGTTTGTTTCACAGAAATTAAGAAAAATGTGTTCGATGTGTCAAGGATTTTAAAAAAATGACTCAAGATTATAGCAATTTTTGAAAGCATCGAACATAGGATGAAGTCTGTGCAACAAACAACAGAGCCTGGGGACAGGAAGGAATTACCTGCAGGAAGTGGGAGGATGGGGAAGTCCATGATCTACAAAGACAACTTTTTAAAGCTTAGATTTATTTCCTTCTAGCTATTTTTCAGTACAAGATAATCAGATCATCTTGTTTATTATTTTAAATAATGTTTTGAATTTTTTTAAAAGGACCTATGTTTTTCAATTAATTAAACCATCTTCTCTACTATTAGTTAAAATAGTAAAAACTTGGGAATATTAACAGTAGGCTACAGTGGTTGTGCTTATGTATAACTTAATGTGCCTCTGACTACTTGCTTGGAACAAATTTTAGGAAGCAGAATAGTAGGTGAAAATGTAAAAAAGAATGTTAATGGATTTTGATAAGTTGTAGAAGGACTTGCAGAAAAATAACATATTTACATCTGCAGCCAGCAGTCTAGGTGAGTGCTTCTCTACATCATTAATACTGAGAGCATGGGACACCCATAAGCAAAGCCAAATTCTCCATATTACCTTCAGAGTCACTGGACTTTCTCATCTGTATATAGAAGCATATTGCTAGCAGCACCATCAGCAGTACAAGTGAAACCCAAATTCCAAGATGCTGTGAAGCTCGACTTGGTGCTAAATAAAACAAAGTAACAAAGGCTGTGAGCTGAAGGAAACTTACCAAGGAAAATAAATGTGAGTAGGTTAGTGCTAGTACAGCAGGTTTTCTATTTTTAAGATTGTTTGTAGCTGCAGAGAGGGAAGAATTAATATGGAGAACATTTCACAGAGTGAAAAAGCCCTCAAAAAACATTTAAAAAGTTAATAGTATAAATAAACTATTGTGGAATATTACTTTAACTGTAAAAAGGTGTATTACATTTGTTTATGCTGCATTTGTTTAAAGATGTAAGGATGTGTGTTTAATTATGTAAAGATGTGTTGCATTTGCTTCACCTTGTCTGCCTAAGGCTCCTGGTTGGTCTAATAAAGAGCTGTATGGCCTATCGCTAGGCAGAGAAAGGATAGGTGGGGCTGGTGGTCAGAGAGGATAAATAGGGGGATACATCCAGGCTCGAGTAGAAGAGAGAGAAGAAGGGAAAAAGAGAATGAGAAGAAAAAAGGACATGCCAGGGGCCAGAACCCTGGCAGCCGCCAGACAGACAGACATAGCGACAGCAGGAAAGTAAGATATTCAGAAAAAAAGAAGGTAAAAAGCCCCAAGGCAAAATGTAGATAGAGAGAAACAGGTTAAGTTAAAAGAGCTAGCCAGAAACAAGCCTAAGCTAGGCTGAGCATTCATAACTAATAAGAAGTCTCCGTGTCATAATTTGGGAACTGGTTGGTGGCCCCAAAGAAAAAGTCTGGTACAATAAACCATTAGTATAAACATGTCTGTTCTCAGTCTCTCTATTACAAGAAACTTATGGTCACTATAATGTCAACCAGTTTGGGTCTAGGTAAAGGTGAAAATTAGGAGAGAAAAGAGTCTGGAAAGTCAAAGACCAAGGACTCAACACTGTATTTAATTTTCTATTATTTTAGATTACATCAGGATATTAACATATTTTTAACAAAGGATTGATTAAGAATGGAAAACTGCATTAGTCTGTAGTTCTCCTCAGACCCCAGGCAAGAAAACTTTCCACACTGGTCTGGAGAAGACAATTCTAAGGGAACAGAGATAGGATGTTCCTGGTGATGAAATAAAGGCCTGGTTTATGAAGAGCACAATCATAGTTTGTGCTCTTCAGGAATACCAGAAGGAACCTGGACTTCCTACATGCTGGCCTAGACTAGGATTATTGTAATTACTATAAAGGAATTTTATAACTCGATTGGTAAAGGGAAAAACTTGGGCGTTTGTATTACTAAAGTCAGACGCAACTGATCTTACAATTCATATCTTACCAAATTGTAGGAGGCATTTGAGCACAAAGGTAGATGTAGGGTGGAAACAATGTTTATTAATTGTTCTTTAAAATGATTATCTCTATTTGTATGTCACACAGTAATTGTTCTGAAGATACTGTTATTACTCAATACAGTCTGCATTCTAACAAAGAAAATATTGCCAGGTGGTGATGGTGCACACCTTTAATCCCAGCACTTGGGAGGCAGAGGCAGGCAGATCTTTGTGAGTTTGAGGCCAGCCTGGTCTACAGAGTGAGATCCAGGAAAGGCGCAAAGCTACACAGAGAAAACCTGTCTTGGAAGGAAAAAAAAAGAAAGAAAGAAAGAAAATATTAATCTCTCTAGTTAGTTGCTAATTCTGAATATCTGCCTCTTGTGAAGAAGAAGAGGTTAGGTAGAGAGGGCAAGCTCACTTTCTAACGTGTATCCAGATGTATGTATTCCCTTCTGAAAATAACCCTGCATAGTACAACTACTTCACATTTTGTCTGTGAGCCTCAGTCCCTGGCAGAGTGAAGAGATAGCCACAAGGTCAAATATCAACTCAGAAAGACAGTTTAGAAAAGATTGCTTAGATCCATTCGGTTCAATGAAGTTTTCATTGGGAAGATCTCAACACTAGGAATACCAAGCGGACTTCTTGTGTGTATGCTGTGGCATCTCTTAGCAAGACAGCAAATGGAAAACTGTAATTAAGAATAGAAAGCCATGTGTGGTGGTATGAATGAGAATGGCCTCCATAGGCTCATCTGTTTGAATGCTTGGTCCCAGTTAGTGGAACTGTTTGGGAAGGATTAGGAAGTATGGCCTTGTTAGAAGAGGTGGGTCACTGGCAGTGGGCTTTGAGGTAATTACCTCTCTCTGCCTGTCTTAGAGTTTTATTGCTGTAAAGAGATACCACAACCACAGCAACTCTTATAAAGGAAAACATTTAATTGAGGATGTCTTGCAATTTCAGAGGTTCAGTCCATTATTGTCATGGCAGGGAGTATGGCAGCATGCAGGCAGATATAGAGCTGGAGAAGGAGCTGAGAGTTCTAAATCTAATTTGGCAGGCAGCTAGAGGTGAATTGGCTTGAACATCTGAGACCTCAAAGCCTGCCCCCACAGTGACACACTTCCTCCAGCAAGGCCATATCTAGTCCAACAAGGGAACACCTACTAATAGTGCCCTTCCCTATGGGCCAGGCATTCAAACATGTGAGTGTGGTCATATATTGTGTACCCCAATAAAGCTTACCTGGGGATCAGAGGAGAGAGCCAGCCACTAAATTAGACAGAGAGGTCAGGCAGTGGTGGCACACACCTTTAATCCTATCACTCGGGAGGCAGAGATCTGTCTGGATCTCTGTGAGTTCAAGGCCACACTGGGCTACATGAGAGGAATAGAACCGGGTAGTGGTGACACACGCCTTTAATCCCAGGAAGTCATATGACAGGACACAGGAAGGTATATAAGGTATGAGGAAACAGTAACTCACTCTTTTGAGGCTGAGGATTTTGTAAGGTAAGCTAGTGGCTGGCTTGTTCCACTTCTCTGATCTTTCAGCTTTCACCCCAATATCTGGCTCTGGGTTTGTTTGTTTGTTTTATTTTATTTTATTTTATTTTATTTTATTTTTACTATAAGGCCTTTTAAGATTCGTGTTAAACATGAGTCTATGGGGGCCATACCTATTCAAACCACCACATTGCCTCATGCTTGTGGATCGGGATGTAAGCTCTCAGCTACTGCTCAGTGTCATGCCCGCTGATCTGCTGCCAGGCTTGCTGCCATGATGGTCATGGGCTTACCCTCCGAAACTGTAAGCCCCTTAATACATTATTTCTTTTCTATGCTGCCTTGGTCGTGGTGTCTTAGTACAACAACAGAAAAGTAACTGGCACAGAATTTGGTACTAAGGAGTGGGCCTCTTGCCGGGACCAGCTTGACCATGCTGTTTCTTCAAGGAATGGAGATGACTTTGGAACTTTGGACTAGGAAAGTGGTTGAACATTGTAAGTAGGGCTTAGTGGGCTGTCATAGTAGGAGCTTGGAAAATAAGACCCCCACCCAGAATCCTGCAACTTCGGAAAAAAAAATGAGCCTGTTCCTGAAAAACAACGATAAATGAAAGTTTAGGCAAATGTCATCTAAGGAGGGGGCCAGGTTTCATCCCAAGCAGGCAGCAGAACTTGGCAGCAGTGGCCACAGGGTTCTGGCTTTATAGTCAGGAAGGATACAGGAGTAAGAGGTTGTGGAATTTTTCTCCACGGATAAGGAGAACTACTGACTCACCCTACTAGAGAACTCGAAGACTGTAAGAAGTCCAGGTAGTCTCTCCTCCCCCTAAACTTCCACACTCTCACTATCTCAGCACCTCTCCACACTGTCCCCAGTCCCATGCCCTCCTACTTGTTGTGCCCCAGCCTCCATCAGGGCCTGAGATTCCTTGTTCTACCAGAGAACAAGCAGACTGGGAGAAATCCAGGCAAACTGCCAGCCCAGCAAACTCCCCCACACTTGCACCATCTCAGCTTCCCCGAACCCCATCACCAATTCTGCACCCTTCTAGTTGCAAATAGTACACACAAACAACACCAAAAATTCTACCAAGGAATTCCTACCGCTGATAAACACCTTCAGGAAAGTGACTAGATACAAGATTAACTTAAAAAAAAAATCAGTAGCCCTCCTATATACAAAGGACAAATGAGCTGAGAAAGAAATCAGGGAAACATCACCCTTCACAATAGCCACAAATAGTATCAAACATCCTAGGGTAACTCTAGCCAAGCAAGTGAAATACCTGTATAACAAGAACTTCAAGTCTTTGAAGAAAGAAATTGAAGAAGATACCCAAAGATGGAAAGATATCCCATGCTCATGGATCATTAGAATTTCCAACACAAATCTTTACAGACCTTGAAAGAACAATATTAAACTTCATATGGAATACCAAAACACCCAGGATAGCTGAAACAATCAAGTACAACAAAAGAACATCCAGAGGTATCACCATCCCTGATTTCAAGCTCTACTACAGAGGTATAGTAATAAAAACCTCATGGTATTGGCATAAAAAGAGACAGGTTGATCAATGGAATCAAATCAAAGACCCAGACATAAACCCATACACCTGTGGACATCTGGTTTTTTTTTTTTTTTTTTTTTTTTTAAGAAGCCAGAGTTATACAAGGGGAAAAAAGAAAGCATCTTCAACAAATGGTGCTGGCATAACTGGATGTTGGCATGTAGAAGAATGCAAATAGATCCATATTTATCACCCTGCACAAAACTCAAGTCCAAGTGGATCAAAGACCTCAACATAAATCCAGTTACACTGAATCTAGTAAAAGAGAAAGTGGGAAATATCCTTGAACACATTGGCACAGGAGACCACTTCCTGGATAGAACACCAGTAGCACAGACACTGAGATCAACAATTAATAAACAGGACACCCTGAAACTGAGAAGCTTCTGTAAGGCAAAGGACGCTTGTTGTAGAATATTATTTTAAGGTGTGTTACTTTTGTTTATATCACATTTGTTTAACTCCGCAGCTGTGTTACTTTGTTTAAAACATCTGATTGTCTGATAAAGAGCTGAATAGTCAATGGTGAGGCAGGAGAGAGAAGTAAGTGGGGCTGGCAGGCAGAGAGGACAAATAGAAGAAGAAAGAAGGAAGAGGACTCCAGGGGCCAGCCACCCAGCTACACACCAACAATGGAGAAAGAAAGAAAGGTATACAAAAATAGAGAATGGGAACAGCGCAGAGGCAAAAGATAGATGGGATAATTTTAAGTTAAGAAAAGCTGCCTAACAAGCCAAGCTAAGGCCGGGCATTCATAATTAAGAATAAGCTTCTATGTGTGATTTATTTGGGAGTTGGGTGGTTGGCTCCCCAAAAGAGCAAAAACAAAAAACAAAAGACAGTGGCAATAGGAAAAATGGCAGCCTATAAAATGGGAAAAGATCTCCACCAACTGCACATCTGACAGAGGGCTGATCTTCCAAATATATAAAGAGCTCAAGAAACTAGACATTAAAAAAATCCAATTAAAAAATGAGGTACAGATCTAAACAGAATTTTCAACAAAACAATCTCAAATGGCTGAGATATACTTGAAGAATTGTTCATCATCCTTAACCATCAGGGAAATGGAAGCCAATTGACTCTGAGATTCCATCTTACTCCAGTCAGAATGGCTAAGACCAAAAACACTAGTGGAAGCTCATGCATGTGAGGATGTGGAGCAAGGGGAACTGCAAATGAAGGCTTTTCTCTGTTCCACCTTGTCCTGCAGCTATTTCCAAGTAATCACTCAGAGGTTTATATTAACTATAAATGTTTGGCTGATGAATCAGGCTTGTTACTAACTAGCTCTTACTTAAATTAACCCATTTCTATTCATCTATATTTTGCCATGTGTCTCACGGCTTTACTTGTGTTCTAATACATCTTATTTCTCTGGCGGCTGGCTGGCAGCTGCCCTGACTCTGTCCTTCAGTTTGATAGTACCGCCCGACCTTATTCTACCTCACCATTGACCAAACAGCTCTATTTATCAACCAATGAGAGCAACACATATGTACAGTGCACAGAAAGGCCATCCCACAGCAGGGAACACTCCCCCATTGTGGTGGGAGCACAAACTTGTACAGCCCCATTGGAAATAAATATGACGATTTCTCAGAAAACTGGAAATCAATCTACCTTAAGACCCAGCTATTATCACTCCTGGGCATATACTCAAAAGATATTCCATCCTACCACAAAGATAATTGCTCAACTTTGTTCATAGCAGTTTTATTCATAATAGCTAGAAACTGGAAACAATCTAGATGTCCCTCAAGAAAGAATGGATAAAGGAAATCCATTTACACAATGGATTATTACTCAGCTTAAAAAAATAACATCATGAAATCTAAAAAAAAATTATGAAATCTTCAGGCAAATTAATGAACTAGAAAAATCATATTGAGTGAGGTAACCCAGACCCAGAAAGACAAACATGTCATGTACTCATTTATAAGTGGATATTAACTATACAATAAAGGATAATCATGCTACAATCCACAGACCCAGAAAGGCTAAGTAACAAAGAGAACTCAAAAGGCAGTTGCGTGAACCTCCCTCCCTGGGAAGGGGATATAGAACACATATTGTGGGTGGATTTGGGGCAGGTGAGATGGGAATAGGAGGGATCATGTGGAGGGGGTGATGGAGAGAGGAAGAGTACTGGAGAGACAACTGGAATTGGTGGGGGGCGGGGCAATCCAAGGGCAAGGTAGAAACCTCGTGCAGTGAAAATTCCTAAGAATCTATTAGGGTGACCGAAGTTAAGACTCCTAGTAATGGGGGTTATGGAGTCTGAACTGGCCATCTCATAAGCAGGCAAGGCCTCAAATGGAGGGGTTGGGACTCCAACCCAGTCACAAAACCTTCAACCTACTATTTGTCCTGCTAGCAAGATGTGCTGGGCTAAGGTGGTACAGAAATCGTGGGAGTGACCAGCCAATGACTGGTCCTGCTTGAGACCTGTGCCATAAGAGGACGCCCACCACTGACACTGCAGGGAGGATCAGAAACTGGAGGCTGGACAGCCCAGAGACCTGGGGTAGAACTAAACAAACCCAAGGGGCGGGGGGAAGTAAATGAAATGATTCCTGATGGTATTCTGCTACACTTGTAGACAGGAACCTGGCATAATCCCCATCAGAGAGGCTCCATCAGCAATTGATGGAAACAGATGCAGAGACCTACAACCAAACATTAGGCAGAACTCAGTGAATCTTTCAGAAGAGGGGAAGAAAAGATTGTAGGAGCCAGAGCAGTCAAGGACACTCCATGGAAACCCACAGAATTAACAAAACTGGACTCATAGGAGCTCACAGGGAATGATCCAACCCCCAGGGAGCCTGCATGGGACTGACCTAGGCCCTCTGCATATGCAATAGTTGTATAACTTGATGGTTTTGTGGGCCCCTAACAAAGGGAGCAGGGACTGTTTCCAATGCTTTTACCTGCTTTGGGGACCCTTTTCCTCCTACTGGACTGCCTCGTCCAGCCTTAATATGAGGGGAGGTGCCTAATCTTACTGCAAATTGATATGCAATATTTCTGGAAGGCCTGTTCTTTTCTGAAGGGAAATGGAGGAGGAAAGGAAGAGATGAGGGACTAGAAGGAGAGGAGGTAGGGGAAACTGTGGTCAGGATGTAATATATGAGAGAATTAATAAAAAAAAACTTTAAAAAGGAGAACTGCTGAAACCAAACATATAGCAGGGAACTCCCTGGATTGTGGCCTGGAAAGGCCATTGGGCGAAGCTCCAAAGGTGAAGCCTGGATTGTGTTAGAGACCCCAAGATGCTGGAAATGAAAGAGCCAAGGATTGCTACACACAGAGAGGAACCATCTCAAAGGAATGAAGTGTTTTGTGGTCAGCAAAGCTGGAAAGGCAAAGCCATCTAAGCCCTTGACATCAGACATGGGGGTAAAGGATTTGGTGTTTGACCTGTTAGGTTTCAGTCTTGACTTTATGGTGGATAATAGTTAAGAGATCATCTTGAGTCTTAAAAGAGGCTGGACTTTTCAATAGTCTTGAAACTGAAAGACTATGAGGACTTTTGAAGTTAGAGTGAATGCACTGCAATATGACCAAAAGCCCATGGAGGGAGGGAGTACAATACAGTGGTTTGAATGAGAATGCCCGCCCCCTCATGGGCTCATATATTTGAATACGTTATCCTTGAAGGAACTATTTGAGAAGGATTAGGAGGTGTGGCTTTGTTGAAGGAGGTATGTCTCTGGGGGTAGGCTTTGAAGTTTCAAAAGCTCATGCCATTCCCAGTTAGCTAAGTTCTCTCTCTCTCTCTCTCTCTCTCTCTCTCTCTCTCTCTCTCTCTCTCTCTCTCTCTCTCTCGCTCTCTCGCTCTCTCGCTCTTTGCTTCTTGCTTATGGATCAGATGTAAGCTCTCAACTACTGCTCCAGCACCACGCTAGCCTGCCTATTGCTATGCTCCTTGCCATAATGGCCATAGGCTCTAACCCTCTGGAACTGTGAGCCCAGATTAAATGCTTTCTTTCATGAGTTGCCGTGGTCATGGTGTTTTGTCATGGGAATAGAAAAGGAACTAAGAAACCAAAACTCAGTAAAGAATTCATGCCTGGTACCATGACTGCTCATTCTGGTCTCTTCCCTGCTGGGATACTCCTGCTACAAGCCTCTTCTTGGAGAATGTGAGAAGACTTTTTACCTGTCTTCACACAGGACAGGGTGTATTTGAAGATACAAGGTTCTGAAAAAAAAAAAAAAACCTTTTCCAGAGCTGGAATTGCCCTGATGCTTCACTGTAGGTAAACTGAAAACTAAATCTCTGCTTAAGGAGATGGGGCATATGTAGTCTTCAGGCAGATGCTTCCTGATTTGTTTTTCTATACTCCAAAATGAATCCAATATGAGGCAACAGTTTTAAAAATAGAATTTTGGCATCACTGCGTTTTACATAAAACCAACACTCTTATTGGGGAGAAAAGTAGGAACTTTATATGCATCTATATTTTTCATTCTATATCATCAAAAGGAGTTTCATCAGTCAGCATGAAGCTTTCTTTGGAAACCACATAACACACAGACAATTAAAAGTTCATGAAACACATAATAATTTTCACAATCTCAAATATCCTTATTAAGGGATAAAAGAGAGCTATTAGGGTTTCCTCTATGCTAGGGTGATAGAATAAGGGTGGGGAGGCCAGCCACCTCACCAGAAAGCCAACTTTATGGCACACATTCCCCGACTCACTTGTCTGTGGATTAGGAACATTCCTTATAAACAAAAAATTTTGGCAACTGAATGTAGTGAAAAGTGAACAGAACCAGATAATTTCTTGGGGCTTCTAATGCCATTTGTTTCCACTAGATTGACGGACATCACCATGTTTCCCAGCATCCAGCAATACCCAATTCTAACTTCCCCTGTTCCTACTGCCTCAGCTCCTAAACCAAGCCCCTAAGGTGTATGTTACACACGGCAGCGAAGAGGAGTTGGAGGTATTTACCTTGGAGCCACCAAAATGCACACATCTCCCTTCATTTCAAAACAGAAAGAATGAAAACGCAAACTTCTGAGAGTAACTTTGATCAAAAGACGGCATGTCACCTACCCTCACGAGCAATACCCTCATGGGAATCTCCACCAATGACATTTTGAAAAAAAAAAAAAACCAAACCTTTGTTGCAACACCCAAAACCCATTAGCCTGCCCTATTTGCTGCTTACCTACTTGCACCCTGTGGACGGTGAGGAATGTATACTTAGGTGAAGAAACGTTACACAAGTATTCCCCACTGTCTGAAGGATGAAGATGTTTCAATGTCATGAGTAAGTCATGGTGATCTCTCAGCTCTTTATTCCGTGTGAAGTGAAGGTCATTAGCAGTTCTGTCCTGTGAAGAATTCAGATGCCAATCCAAGACATTTTCTACTTTAGACCAATTAACACGGAAGTCTTGATTTTGTAGAGAGAAATTGCTGCCGACAGTGCACCCGAGTGAGATGGATTCACTTTGATTCATCCAGTGACTACCTAACAACAAAAACAAAAAGGAAACTAGTGAAGACCAAACTGTCGGAAGAATTTTCTGAATTACACTTAAGATTGGGAAGGAAAACAAACTGCAGTATTTATGTCTGTGGGGAAAACTTTCTGATATTTGTGTTGTAGAGTTTCATATGAGAAAAGCTGTCCTGTTTCTGTTTTAAATTTTTCCTCTAAGGTTATATTAGACCTTCATGTTGTGATGGAATGGGGTCTTCCAGGGAGGAAACTCCTGGATTTTACCTCCTCCAACCTGAAGAATTACTCTGGAACACTGCACCTGCTGCTGAGTCTGGCCACCTGAGTTCAATTTCCAGGATCTCCATAGTGGAAAGAGAGAACACACTCCCCCAAATTATTCTCTGACTTCCACATGCACAACATAGCATTATGTTTCCCCCAATAAATAAAATAAAAGTATTTTTAAAGATCAATGCTTAAAATCCAGCAATAATAATAGTAAAACTTAATAAATCTTTTAACTGGAGAGAATCAGGGGTTATGATCTGCTAAAGGACACACATTCCTGTGCATGTGGGAAATCCTGTTTGGAGGAGAAACCATACATAGATAGATAAACAGACATTCATGGACAGATCTCCAGTGTTTTCACTCAATTTTCACCTAGTAAAGTAGGTACTTCTATTTTATGAATAGGGAACGATGCTCAGAATCAATGCAACCAAATTATTCCTTCTGCAGTTGGGTTTTCTTTCTTGATTCTTTGTTGATCTATCCCAGCCTCTGGCAGAGCACCTCTACACAGAAAGTCCAATGGAACCTACCTGCCAATGTCCACTCTCCTCTCCATGTTTCATTGAGAAGTGAATTTTCAATAACACACTCACAAGGTGAATTTAATCCTGTAACATTCAGTGTACTTTTAACATAAAAAGGACCCGGAGACTCAGTTACTTCTGTACTGCTTCCAGAGACAATTGCATTGTCCGTTTTCCATGTGATACGTGGATAAGGATAAACACTCAGGATACTGCAAACCAGGAAGCTCTCTGTATTTTTTTCATATTTCATTAAAGGTGTGTGGAAAGCTGCATGAAACAAAGAGTGAGTTACAAAGAATTGTAGCCATTAGTTTCTTTATCACTACCTATGCAATAAAGGCAAAATTTTATGAACAAGATCTCTCAGTTCCTTAAAGAAAAATTCAACCCAAACAAAACAGCGTCAAAATCTGTAGAGTTCACGCAGCACTCTGTGGACTCCTTAGCTACTGACTCAGCCTATTTGAATATTTTTTTAACATACAATTCTGAGTCAATATATAAAGCAGTTAAATCAGTCAGAGGAAGAAAGAGTAAAAATTAAATTTTAAAAATATATTAGAAGATATCCCCCCTGAAGCATGCAATACTGTACAGCACTCTATTATACCCTAGCTGTGCACACTCTTACATGCACTCATACTCACTTGCCAGTGCATCTCAGAGAAATGTGAATTTTCTTCCAGCCCCCTATCCCACAGCAAATATTATGATAGAATAAGTCATATGATGTCTATGATTTCCTGATGCATATGAAAGCAGTTCTACATTATATATGTATGTATATATATATATATTACATATGTAATAGCTTTAGCTTTATAATTGCTTTGTTTCATTTGAAACAGGTACTCTTTTCAAGAGTACAGTCTTGCCTCAAGCCATCGATCCTATTTTTTCAGCCTCCCCAGTACTAGAATTACAAGTCCATGTCACCACCCTATGCTCTGTAATAGCATTATGTCTTAAAAACTATGCTCAGCCATAAATGAGACATCTATGTCACAATGCTCCTCCCAAGGCTCAGTGACCATTGTGGAAGAAGGGAAAGAAAGACTGTAGAAGTTAGAGGTCGGGGAGGACTGTGACAAAACAGTGGCTTCTGGACATGACAGAACAATTGTATTCATGAACTTACAACAACTGTGGTTGCCTGCACAAGACCTGCAAAAAATCAAGCAGGTCAGCATTACAGCGTGGAGAAGGCAAGGGACATGAGCCTCCATGCCTGGCTGAATAGTAACTGACAGTTCATGCTGCTGGGGAAGGGGTAGTTTTGTTTAAGAGTATAACTCCTAGTAGGTTGGCCATATTCTAGTATATGGTCCCATACTCATACATATATGAGAAACACTAATTAAAAAGAAAAAAATTAGTGTGAAGTTGAGAAGGGAACATAGATCTAAGAAAATTTGGAAACAGGGAATAGGGATTAGATATGATCAAAATACATTGTACACCTGTATAAATGAAAACAGTATATGTATTTAAAATATCAAAACACAACTGAACTAACAATAAATTTATAATAGCAGTAAAATTACTGTGAAATCAAGAATACTTCCTAACATACCATGTCAATGATGAACACGTTCAACGTTATCATGCTGTATCAATAAGAATTCTTGGTAGTATGATTATGAATATGTCATGAAATTATTCCTATTATTTCTTAAGTTTTAATTGGATTCTAGTTTGATTTAACATAAACTTAACCATTGGCAACCATGAGTACATTAATTGTATAGTATGGCTAGAGTTACATTACAGTTATTGAAGAGAAGATAAAAATCATACAATATCAACAGTAAGTTTTACTTTATTTTTTTTAAAAAAGGCAGTTTAAAGTTAGTTGAGTATTTCTCATCATCATGTTGGAAGAGATGTTTAAGACTGATGATATTCAGTGTTGATAGAAGTACTAGAGAAATGAATGCCCTTATGCTGCTAATGTCATTGGAGTATTAAAATCTTACTTCTGGTACTTTTAGTTCAGATAATTTGTCATCATCTTATGTAACTATAAAGACATGCATCACAACAGATGGAAAACGTTGGAAACCCTGAACATCCACCAACAGGGGGGAATGGTTATACCAATCATAGCATGCCCATACTATGAGATATTACTACACATTGGGCACTGTCTATGATATTATGCATTGAAATAATGGGGTAGATTTGTAGGAACTGACTTGAAAGGAAGATCTTAGTATATGACGCTCAGAAAACGCTGTTTCAGAATTGCATCAAATTATGTCATCACACCTCACTAAAATGTACATACACACTTACCTCCCACTTTCAGCACCACTTTGCTCACATAATATCTACTTCTTGTTCCCACATAGCAGGTATAAATTCCTTCATCCAGAAGGCTCAATCTTCTGACAGCTAGAGAGGCATTCCCGTTGTGAATTTCACTATGAAAGAGGGATGTCCTGTTTGCATATCTAAGATACTGTCCTTCCAACTGGTCCATGTCTCTGAAGTAAGTGTGAACAGTGTTATCTTGAATTTTCCAGTGAATTACAACTTGAGGCTCGCTTGTAAACAGGCAAGGGAGAATCACATCTTCGTTGTATCTTCCAATAATGAGTTTCTCATTATTACTATTGTGGTAACTGAAGAAGACTGGGAAGAATAGGTATAATGTGGGGAGCAGACAGAAAATGAAGAGGGTTAGAGACAGGTGCTTGTCAGGGCTTATGCCAGGACTGCCTGAGTGAACCTCCTAGAAGAATAGCCTGCCCACATCTCAAGGAGCCTGGCTCGCTAGTCATTGGCAACAAGCCCTGACTCTGTGATGGAGTATCTTCCCGCTCAGTCAAATTGAGTCAAAGTAACTGTGAGGTTGGCAACTGCCCAAGGATTAAGCATATTAGTTTGTAACCCACGTGACCAACAACAGTCTGTCTCTCTCCAAATCGCTGCTGTCGTACTGGAAAGAGTGAACATGAAAGAAGTCACCTTTATACCTACTGCAATATTAATAGTTTTTGAAGCTTGCTAGAGCCAGAAGGCCCTAAATCTGGGGGGAAATTAGTTTTGCTGAGTCAATAAGTATATGGAGAATTTAGAAGGCAATCCTGGGTTCTACAGTCTGTCGGTAATCTGGAAGACAGTCTCCTCAGCCCAAGAGGACGAGGGCAGGAGATCAAGAGGAGAAATGATGTAAATATTGACTTCAGCTTTCGAACATGCACTAGTGATTCTTCATCATTGTGAGAAGACAGCTGATAAAAACAACCTAAGGGAAGAAATATTTATTTGAACTCATTGTTCAGAGGGTTCAGTCCATCCTGGATGACTCTACTCTTTCCAGGTCTGGGGTGAGGCAGGACATCATGATGGCAGAAGCATCTGGCAGAGGAGAGAGAGGAAAGGAGAGGAGACAAAAGTGAGGTATAGCTCCCAGGGACATCCACAACAACCTGCTTCCTCCAGCTAAGACCCTCTTCAGTATGGTCTAGAGAATGATCTGCAATAGTCGTATTTTCGGTTTCAATTAGGCGACTTATTAAGCACATAGCGGGCAAAAGAAAAGAACAAAAAAGCAAGCAGCAGGTGGATAGAATCCAAGACAGAGAGCAAAACACCATCCATCAGGGGCTCATGGCATCTAGCAGAAATAATGAGAGCAGCCTGAGTGAGAGAGTAAACAAAGGTAACACCATCAAATCACTGCTGGAGTTCCCAACTGCAAGTCTCCCCGTTGATCAACTTCCAGCTTCCTGTTCCCATGGGAGGCATTTCTATGTCATGGGATAAACAATAGTAATGTCTGTAAGGAATGGTTTGGCTTCTATCTGTTCTCAAGAACACAACGTTTTTAATGCATTTATCTGCTTGCTCCCCACCAGTATTTCCTGTTACAGAGAGTCAAGTGGCCATCCTGACTCAGGGCAATATTTTAGAGGATTCCTGCTAAAACCATTCTTGAGCTCCACAGTTTTATCGCCTGCTTTCAAAAAGTTTAAGTAGCATGTTGTTAGGTCTCAGGACATTCATATATCCAGAAATGAGCTCACACTGAACTGTAGAAGGATTCCTAGTAGTTAGATAAAAAGCCGGCAATCCTCACGAACTTGTGAAACCTGTTCCCATCTTCCAAAAGGAATCATTTCCCTTACCCATGGCAAAAGGGACATATGGCTCTCTATTGACATGTACATATGGTTGCATATCAAAACTCACACTGGCCTCCAGGCTCCCTCAGTCCCCACTCACAACTACTTATTATAAAATTCAAACTCAGTGGTAGCCTCCTGGACCTTCCCCTCAAGTCCCCAGCTACTCATCCTCCTTATGCCCAGACACTCTTTTATTCTCTCTCTTGCTATCTCCTTACTCTTGTGCTTGCTGTGGATATCACTCTATATAAATAAAACACTGGCCAGTGGCCAGGCAGGAAGTATAGGCAGGACAAGGAGAGAGGAGAATTGAGGGAACAGGAAGAAGGAGGAGGGAGACCCTGCAGCCACCGCCAGGACAAGCAGCATGTAAAGACGCCGGTAAGCCACAAGTGACATGGCAAGGTATAGATTTATAGAAATGGGTTAATTTAAGATATAAGAACAGTTAGCAAAAAGCCTGCCACGGCCATACAGTTTATAAGTAATATAAACGTCTGAGTGATTATTTTATTCGTGGATTGTGGGACTGCGGGGCTTGGTGGAACCTGGAGAGAAGCCCTCCAGCAACACGCACTGTCTCTTGTTACCTCACTGTCTCCTCCACTATTCTCTGCTGCTCTTCTGGCCATGTTCAGTCTGCTTCTCATTTCCCTCTGCTCTGGACTCTTGCATATGCCTCTGGATGTCTTCTCTCTCTTATTCACAATACTATCCCCCAACCATTTTATGGAGCAGCCTTTCCAGTGGCTCCTTTTTTGCACCTCCTCACATGTACACATGGCAATTTTCCAATATAATGTGCTCCAGTCCCCACCTCCTAAATTTCCAGAACCTTCCAAAATAACACTAGTATCTAGAAGCCAAATATTTAACATGTGAGTCTATGGGGGACCATTCCCATTCAAATCATAATAGGACCACATTCCCAATACTCTATGAGTCAGACAAATGAGATTGGGGGAATATTATTCTGGACATAAATGTAAAATTCTAATCCTCTTGGTTTATCAAATTTTGGTGTTGTTTTATTTGTGAATGTGAGATTTCAAAAGTCAAAACTACTCAGCACAAGTTAGGGTTTTCTAATGAACATATACTTAACTGCATCATGGCATTGAAAACAGTATTTTCTTCTCTGAATTCTAAGATATTAAGATGAGAAAGGACCTTCTGCTGTGGACATTGGGGTAAATCCTTCAGGATTTTTGCCACCACTGCCTGAGATTGAACCACTGAGCACTGGCGTTACTCGGTTTCACCTTTTCCCTCCATCCACTCCCCTGTGATATTTCTCTCCGGCCATGCTTTATTACTCTTTCTCAGAGAGACGCAGAGTCTCTGAGGCAAATGTGAGGGGGGCGGCATTGCGCTAAGGAAAAGACCTGGGGTAGCAGGGAAGAAAAGAAGTGACTGCTGAGTCTCTAGCCGCACTGCCATACCCCTCTACTGCTTCATTGCAGGACTGGCCAACAGGGCCATACCAAACCAAAAACCTTCCTCTGTACAGCAAAGGACACCATCAGTGAGGGAAGAGACAGCCTACAGAGCGGAAAAAAATCTTTACCAGCTAGACACCTCACAGAGGGCTGGTGTCTAGAATATACAAATAACGCAAAGAAATGAAACATCAAGAAGATAAACACTGATATTTTAAAATGGGGCACGACACTAAACATAGAGTTCTTAAAAGATGAAATACAAACTTCTTCTAAAGGGAGAAACACTTTTTAAAAGTGTTCAGCATCTTTCACCATCAGGCAAATGTAAATTAAAACTACTTTGAGGCTTTGGTTTACTCCAGAATAGCCAAGATTAAAGAGAGAGAGCGGGGCGGGTTGGGGGGGGGAGGCGCGAATGCTGCCATGAATAAGGGGAACATTTATTCACCGCTGCTAGGAGCAAAAACTGATATAGCCATTATGGAAACTGGTGTGGCGTTTCCTCAAAAAGCTAGAAATAGATCTACCACATGTTTCAGCTCTGCCACATCTGTACAGATGCTCAAAGGTTACTGTATCTTACTGCAGAGATATCTATTCTTCAATATTCATTGCTTCTTTATTCACAATGGCCAGGAAATGGAAGCAACCAAGATGTCTATCTCCTGATGGCTGTGTAATGAAAATATGACATATTGATATAATCAAATATTATTCAACTAAGTGAACACAGCACCAGGACAACTTCTAATCACATGTTGCTATAACCGCACATCAGCATATCACCCGACCATCATCTTCAAGTTGGGTGAGTAAGGAAGTGAAAAGGGTGGGTATGGGAGGGCCTGGAGGGGTGAATATGATCACAGTATATTGTGTGAAATTCTCAAGGAATCAATAAAATTATTTAAAAATAAATAAAACAAAAAAGTAAAGATTCACTCAAGAGTCTGTTTGGGTTATAGCCTTTTAAATGACTGCTTTGTAAGCAGCTATTTTAAAGTGATTTTTGTACATTGGATGAGCTATGTACCTGTGACTTTCAGCTGTAAAGCTGTGTATCTACATCTTATATATTTACAAAGGTTAAAGGTTTATATGCTTCATGTGCGCAAAGTGACCTGTAAAAGCTGTTGACACCATATTTGGATGCAGAGCCTGGCAACTGGATGATCTTGTTATTGAAAACCCCCTCTGCGGGGCTGGAGAGATGACTCAGTGGTTAAGAGCACTGGCTTCTCTTCCAGAGGACCAGGGTTCAATTCCCACTACCCACATGGTGGCTCACAACTGTCTGTGACTACAGTTCCAGGGTACCCAAAACCCTTACACAGATATACACATAGGCAGAACACCCATGCACATCAAAACAAAAATAAGTAAATAATTTAAAACATAAACAAACAAACAAAAACCTCTATATCTATTCGCCCCCCCGACTAAATAACAGTTTTTTCAGGGCCCCAAGACTTGCACAGGTCCAAGATAGACAGTGTCTGAATGCTGAGAGGGGGCAGTGGACACAAGCTCCCATCCCTAACCATGAAAGTATACCCAGTTGACTACACTGGCAAAGGAACAATTCGTTTTCTCCAATGGAATCTCACTGGGCATATAAACCACATTTCAGGGCAGGCCCTGTGTCCAGCAACAGGCAACCAACACAAAGAGAACTCAGTGGTATTTTGGAGATGTTTTGTTTTTGTCTTATATTGCTTTGTTTAAACATTTTCATTCAACTTACAGGACTTTTGCTTATATGTTATTATTTTTGATTTTGTGTTTTCAATGTTGTTTTTGTGTATATGTTTCTCATACTTTTTCTTTTTTATAAATTTATTATTATTATTATTATTATTTTATTACTGGTTTGTTTGTTTTTCATGCTTGTTTTATAAAGAGAGGGAAAGAAGAAATGGAGTTGGGTAGGTAGGAATTGGGGGAAGAGAAGAGATGAGATCTGAGAAGAGATGAGAGGGGGGAACCATGGCCAAAATATATTGTATAAAAATTATTTTCAATACAAAGGAATAAGTGTTTTGCTATTATATATATATATATATAATATATATATATATTATATATATTGCTATTATATATATAGCTATATATATAATAGCTATATATATATATATAATAGCAAAACACTTACACAGAATGTATGTGTAACTGAGACCATTCTCTAAATCTATAAGAGGTACTAACATTTCATTTTTGGCCAGTGTGATAGCCCCATTACTGTACTGAACTGAAGGTTCTGAATTTACTTTCCACAGCACAAGTTGGCTCAATATGCAAATCTTTTGTGTACTTCTGCTATGATGCTAATTATTGCTGGCTTTTTTATCTGTGTGTGATAAACCTTCTAAGATTCAATGCTTATGAAAACATTTTATCTAGATGGCATTCTCTAAAATGAAAATGTTAATGATGGTTAAAAAAAAAAGAATGTCAATGTTAGAACTTTGGAATCCTGTCAAGCTTGGGTACCAAACTTCCACTCTGAAACTGTATCAGTCAAACGCTCCTTTCTAGTGATGTTAGTAGTAGATAACATATTAGAGAGAGCTTGAAATAGAGCATACAGAAGAAAATGTGAATTTTAACATTTGTGTATACTTCTGGGCTGCTGTTTCTGCTAAGACACAAGCTGATTACCCAGGAAAGTCCCCAGTGTACAGAGATACAGCTTGAGTCCCCACAGCTGAAACCAGAGCTGATTTGGACTTTTGGAAATTCAGAATAATTGAACATACATAGTAAGACAACTAAAGGGAAGGACCTCAATTTAAGTACCACCCACAGTACGTGTGCATGTTATACACACAACCTAAGGGTAATTTTCTTTCATCTGTGTTTTCACTGGCACCTGTCACATGAGGTCAACTGTGGAATACCCCAACTGTGGTGTCATGTCAGTGCTCAAAATGTTGCAAATTTTGGAGCAGTTTGGATAATGCATGTACAATCTATAGCCAATTTACTTTTTGTGCTACTGTTAATCTCAAGTGATACAAATAACTAACACCAGTATCACAAAAAGAAGTTACCTTGAGATCCACAAGGGTCCAGTGTGACAGCCAAGAAGAAACACAGCAGTTCCCATGCCTTCATGTCTTGTGGAGGTCATGTTAACTGTGCTGTTGAAAAGAAGAAAATGTTCACATTATGGACTGTAACTGCAAAAGACGATTGGAAGGAACTACAGGATCTGACTCCGGGAGATTAAGTTATTATACACTCACACATATAACTTGTTGTAGCCATTACACACAATATTATGTAAGTTCAGTGGCACTGAACTTCTTCCAGCAGCATAGGAGAAAACCCAATTATAATGCAACTTTAAACACGATGCTCCTGTGTGTTCTTTGTTTGTTTGAAGCACACACCTTTTTGCATACAGGGCACTAGCAGGATTCATCACCAAATCTACGTTACGATGTTAAGGCTAAAGAATGGACTGCATATCCAGAGCCGGGTGTGCCGTATGTTAGTCACTGATAAATGGCTGTTGAATGAATAGGAATTTGGCAGTGATCCCACAGTGGCTCTCTAGACAATAGCTGTTATTTATAAAGCTTTCAACGGTGTGAATACATTGTTTTTATAGTAAAATATACTAAAACCAAATTCAATTCAATATTAAGTGCCAGCGATAACTGTGGCATCATTTATCATCACACATAAAAGCAGCTAAAGCATGACATCAACCTTAGTGCACACCACAAGGCTGCTGTTAAAATGGGGGTGGGGGTGGGGGAGAATACATGGTCTGTGGTTTGAATGAGGAATGTTACCCATAGTCTCAGGCTTTCGAACACTTCGTCCCCAGTTAGTGGTCCTGTTTGGGGAGGTTTACTTGGTGTGGCCTTGCTAGAGGACGAGGAAGTATGTCACTGGGTAGGGTACGGACTTTGAGAGTTTATAGTCTGGCCTCACTTCCAGCCCTCAGTCCCTACTTTGGTCGTGTGGTTAAAGACATGAGCTCTTAGATTTCTGTTCCTGCTCCTGTGCCTGCCGCTTGCTATCATGATTCCCCACCATGATGGACACTTATCCCTCTGGAACTGTAAGCCCAAATATGGTCCTTCTTCCATGCTACTTCTGGTCATGGTGTGTAATTACAGCTACAGACAAGTGACTAATATAGATGATTAGTTACTTGTCCACACACAACATAGTTTCATATAAAATAGAACTGATTTTCTTGAATGATGGGATTATCGTTAATTTTTCCTCTTGAGAAACAGTGTCTTTAAGAATAGCATATAATTTGTTTTAAAATCACTAGAAGATTTTGAAGAATCATTTGGCAGTTCTACAATTGAGAATGTGCTTTAAATGTGCCATAAGATATAAAATCTTAGAATGATTAGAATTATTCTAAAAATTTAAATTAGACTCCTCCATCAAAACAAAATCCAGCAGCATAATAATTTATAGTTTCAATTTTACATTTTAAAGGCTAGAAGGAAATAATTGAATTTGCAACTTTTGCAAAGAGTTTCCTCAACTCGAATCATTTCCTGATTTTCTATTAAAATGTGTTCATTTTCTGTTAAACTTGTTCATTTTTTATTAAAATACAGCCACACAAAAATCAGAAGAGCAATAAAGACAAAAACCGATGTTAAAATATTAACAGGGTCAACATTTGCCACAGGACTAAGTTGTTATCCACTAGCTTCTATCCCTTCAAAGCAAAAGCTAAAATAGTTGCTAAAATAAAAACAAAAAAAATAGTACTAATTATTAAAATAAGTTGTATTTCTTCTTACAAATATGTTTACATGTACAAGGCATTAATAGATACTATATCATAATGACAATCTATGAATGAGAATATTAGTAACTAATAAGCTCATTTTTTTTTTGAGACAGGGTTTCTCTGTGTAGCTTTGTGCCTTTCTTGGAACTCACTCTGTAGCCCAGGCTGGCCTCGAACTCACAGAGATCTGCCTGGCTCTGCCTCCCGAGTGCTGGGATTAAAGGCGTGTACCACTGTCGCCCGGCCCATAAGCTCATATTTTTAAAGACTTACTTATTTTTATTTTAACCATATGAGTGTTTTGCCTGTATATAAGTATGTATATGCATCTACCTATTTCTCCCTTCATAATCATCAAAAAAAAAAAATTCCCTAAGTAACCATCTCCATTTTTCCCTTTTCAGGCTCAACTTAATCTACTCTGGCTTTCTCTTTGTAGGCCATATCAAAAGTGGCCTTTGTCACTGTCACCAAGAGCTCCCATCTGATACCATTTGCTTTCTTCCTCAGTCCCAGAGTGCCATCTGCACAGTTGACTGCTGGCTCCACCCCC